TTAATTTATCTTATTTTAGCTTTGTGTTCTGAATTGTACATACTGTCGTGTTCTTAAATATTTTTTGAGATTTATGGTTGCTGGAGAACAGACTGGCGCTTCAGATACTATAAATATCCTTAATTTTAATTAAGGCCCTGCATCGTATCACTAATTCAATGCACTGTCTCTAGGTTTTTCACTCACCAAGGTGACTTTGAAAATTGTTCATAAGTCGCTGTTTTCCCAAGCTTTGTCATAATCGGGCTCGATCGATTCTCGAGTTTGGTAAGAGAAGTAATCCACGGGACGTGATTTGTAAAGTCAAAATATATTTCTCATAGCTGACAAACGCGAATCGGTCAATTTGGTTGAAGAACGGAAATCATGAAATTGTTTTTGCTTTTCGCCTTCGTGCTTTTTACACTTCTCGCGTTAGAGTTGGTGTTTGCCAATGATACTGAAGCCGAGCTGGGAGAGGAAAACTACGAAGAAATTTATAAGGAGATGAAGAAGAGGGGACTGATAGACATCGACGAAAATGACGGTTTAGGTAATTTTATATTCTTTATTTGAAAGAACTTTTTGTGGTATTATTTTTAGTCTTATTTAAATCAAGACAAAATCTGTTATACTGAGGGTCCCGTCGGCAGTGAGTCCAAATGAAATAATTTCAGCCCGGGAGCCACTGGCTGATTTGACGGTTATTTTGGAAAATATTAGATTTGGCCTCGTTTTCAAAACGTGGAGTGGTAGCCCCAAAAAAATTTGGCGGGAGACGAAGGCATAGAGACAGGTAAGTTGTACATGTGTTTGTGGAATGAACAGTAGATTTAAATACTAATGAATTTGACGGGACAATACAGTATATGCTTAAGTTACATTTTATACACCGAATAAGTCTTCGTGTATCGATTTCACTGAGTATTCTCTAAAGTTACTGGCGATTAGCAAAATGGCCGCACACAAAACGTCATTGTAAACATTGACTTTTGAACTGTGCCAAATGCAGCTTAAGGGTTTTTTTCTTTATCTGTTCCTGTTTTTTCATAGTTTGGCAATATTTTTTGAACATATCAAATTTTTAAGATGTGCGATGGCCTGTAATTTGTAGAATTTCAACATTTCCAACAAGCTGTATATTCACCGTGCCGGGTACCTATCATTTAGTTGATCGAGTGATGGCAGTGGCTTTCTGGTCTCATGCATGGAATGAATGTCACCGTATAAGTGAAATGTTTGAATCTTGGCTTCTCATGCAATTTCTTCGTGTTTTAATGTGAAAAGGATGAAGTGGATTGCGAAATAACATTGTCATCCAACCTGCATACACGTATACGTATGTGCATATCGTGGTGTACCAGTACTTGTTTGCAAAGCGGTGGGGAGGGGGGGGGGGGGCATTGGTACCAGTAGTTGTGAAAGATACAGTATTGTAAACTAACCTAGGCATGTTTTGAAATATATGAATTGTAAATTATGTCTTTTTTGCTGGGGGCGGGGTAAACACAAAATAAGTTTTATTGCATTGGTTGGGGGTTTTGAGGAGAAGAATGTCATAAAAATGCAAGTTTAAAAAAGGTGAATAATATATGTATGTGTGTATGTACATTAAATGAAACAGGCTCTTCAATGATGAGGGCATATGATAGTGATGTGGTGCTCTGACTTGCATGTGTTTTCTAATTTTTTCATGCCTTGATTCAAATTGGGTTTTTGAATTATGATGGGTGTGCAACTTTGCCCAAAGTTCAGTTTCAAATGTTTTTTTAATAATCACTGTTATGAATTAAGTATAAATAGTGCAGTTTAAGGTAAAGATTGTAAATATAGTGCTGTTTAAGATTGATTGTTACAGTTTACCTATTACAAAGATTGCAATAAATTATGATTAATTTCAGTGTGTATGTGTGTGAGCAATTGATAAATGTAGTTAGAATTTTTTAATGATATTCTTTTAAAAACTCTATTATTTATTCTAGGCTTGAATAGCATGAATGGGACCAGGATTATTCCTTTTGCCGTGCAATTATCATAACAAAAGCGCCCATCATTTCCAAATGCTGTGTGGCAATGAACACCACAACCTCTGGGATACTTCTAAGGGATGAAAAATATGTGCTCTTGCTAATATAAATAGTTATTGGTTATCAGTACATAGAAATGCAGTTTGTGAAATCAATTTAGGTTTTAACCACATGAAGTTAGTTAAAAGTGTATGTGCAACTAAGTTAACAATACATTGTTTTATTTTTACTGTGCAGGTTTTTTTATATATGTGTAGCTTATAGATAATATCTACTTATCAGAATACAAGTAAAACAAGTTTATTCAAATGCAAATATGGATTGATACCTGGTATCACTGAAAGAAAATTAACATGACATCTTTGGGAAAATTTATGAAATTATATTATTTGTAAAAATTCTGGTCCACTGTGTAAAGGGAAATTGTGTGTTAGATGGTTAAATATATATAAATGTGTACCAATCAAGTAAAGTAGCATTGAATTATCACCTACTGGGTAATTAATGTACAATGTAATGTAAAATAACTATTTTGCAATGTACATGTCTCACTGGTAAAATATTTCAGGCTAGTTGAATTTTATGTAAAATTAAAATAAAATATATAGCAATGTGATTAAATGTAAATTGTCTTTCATTTGTTATTTTTCATATTTAATGAAAGGAATACCCTCATCAGTTGGCCTTGTGTAATAAAAAGGTTTATCTACAATGAAAAAAAATGTTAAAGTTCATTTGTATTAGCACCGTGGTAAGTGCCAAGAAAAAAATTATTTCATTGTCCCCAATACCCAGTTGCTCTATATAAGTAATACTGTGTGAATGAAAAACTAAAACGAGACTGAAGCTCATGAGAAAGCACTAAGTCAAAGCGAGGCTTATATGCGGATATCGTAAGTGAGAGTTTTCAGGCTGACATGACATAAAATTTCCACAACTTGTAGTAATTTCAAGTTGTGCGGAGGCCTCTATAGGTACAAAAATCAAAATCAAAAACGAACTTCCGTAATAGCTTTAATAAAATTTCGATTTCAAACTCATTTTTCAACATTAAATATGCTGTAGATCAGCTTTTGGGTCATCTCACATTATTCGAAAATTATTTCTCAATATGACAATGTACATATTGTAACCCCAAGTACGTTAATAGCCGAGATAATACACCGTTTATGACACCCTATAAATCTAAAAAAATATTGCCCAATTCAAATTCTCGAACTTCCGGTTTGTTTAATAGCCTTACCCCGGGGTCCAACTAGTCCCGGTCTCTCCTAACGCGACAGTGAAAATATATCTATGAGCACAGCCGCACTTATAGCAATGTGCATAAATGTGTTAAGGGTGACACTTGATAACAAGGGAGTATGGATTTTATTTTTCAGAAATTTATTACCACCATCGTGCACTTCTTGTGTCCTGATATTTAATATCATATATCTATCAGATTTATTATTATCATTTTGTATTTCTAGTGCGACTGATATCTCCTACGGATGATACGGCCGTTCCAGGACAGTTCATTTGCCGTCTTCGGCCTAATGCCGACTACACGGAAAGTAGGTACATCTCTTTAGATAAAAAATTCCAGTTCAGTAAATTAAGTTTTATATCGGGACTAATACATAACTGTTACTAACTATGACCAATAAAGTTCCATTAGTCATTGGCTATAGAAAACACTAACTGATATTTACCAGGAATGTATTTCTTACTATATAACATAATATGTAAATATAACGAAGGTGGAATGACCAATATACCGAACAAAGTGAGCAAAGATAACATGTATACAATATGCATGTATCCGAAGACTAGCCAAAAAATAATGAAAATAAAATACATAAGTAAAAAATAATTAAAAATAATAAAAAAAATTAACTAGACAGCAAAGCTGGCAAATATGCATACACCATACAGGAATCAAGGCAGCAAAGCTTAAAAAATTTCAGACAAAAAAAAAAAAAAAAAAAAAAAAAAAACTGCACCAGCACCAAATAATGTTTTGGCCAATTTTGATGAACTGTTACATAATGCTTCAAAACAGGATCAATGGATCATATTTATGACTCTCATATAATTTATTCGTTAACACCGAGAAACGGTTAGAAAGTATACCTTATTTCCTAAGCAATGTTATCGAAGTACCTATTTACAGTTATCGTTTTGCACTCTTTACAGTCAGTCAGATTCTGGAAGGAAGAGGTTCTTATGAAGAACTGGATTTCAGTGAGAAAGATAGATACGTTATAATTACGGGTATAGATGAAAGGTATATTAATCTTTATCTCATGCCTTTTCCACGAAGAACTCTGGTTTAGACTGTAAAACGATCGTTAAACTTTGAAATATACTGCTCAAACGTAGTTAGGGAACAAAGTACTGTCAATTATCATTATGCAAATGAGCATAAAAGGAAGAGGGCTTCAAAAATTGAATTGACAGCTGTAAGAGACTTTTCATTATCGTGTTCGCCTATTGGAATCACACTTGCTTCACAACCCCGTCTCCATCGAATAATTAATGTCTGAAGCGACTGATTTTTATTGCAACACAGTTAAAGTACATGTAGAAACCCCACCCAAAAGAAAATGACGATTTTGTCTTAATTAAAATAACGGTATGCATGGATCAGACTTCTGCATCTTAAATGGTGGGTATGCCTTAACTTCTTTTGAGCAGTACAAGATACATTATTCGAAGTTTGATTTTTTATATTACATTTATTAACAGTTTTAATGATATTTTATTAAGTTTTTTATTCATTATTCAGATATCATGGTTGAAATTTATTTGATAAGTTTGTTTTGGGAATAAAGTCCAAAAAAAATAATTTCAAATATGCATACTTTGTCCGGATTCGATGCACGATTGTACGTCTTTTATTTATTTATTATATTTATTACCGTTGACGAAAGGCTAATAATTTTCGCTAGTGACCTCCAAAAGATTCGCCAGCGTCCTGACCTTTTTGAGGAAATCGAACGGGATATCAAAATGTCGATGGATGAACACCATTCTGATGGGCCTCACAATGCCAGTGCAGATTTTTGGGTAAATGTCAATGTGTTTGCACGTGACAGTTTCTATGCGTGTGTGTTTATAGATTTCCTAGATTTTTTTTGTCTCAGTATGCTACCAGCCTGCGTCATTTCTCTCTCCCTATTTCCTGAGTGCAAATGTCATTTTTATAAGGGTAAAGGTGTGTCTTAATGAAAGATATAACCAGCAAAACCTCAGGCCTCTGCAAAAAAAAAAAAAAAAAAAAAAAAGAAGACTTTTTTTGTCAAAATAACGTTTTTCTTAATATCGGCAATGAATGTACAAGGGAAAATTTCATAAAATGTTAACTTCAACAATTCTGGTGTATTAATCAAACTGCTAAAAAGAAGTTAAGGATCACTTAGAAAAGCAGACATTAAAAAACGTCAACTGTTGAATAATTAAATATTATTAAATACAAGTAGAACTAATCTGTACATATATCTTATCTGGATTAATTTCAAATTCTTATCACTTCTTGCCCTCTTAAATAATTCACATTTTCGTAAACATTTGATAAGATCAGTCCACTAATGAACAAACTGATAGACATAGCCTTTCGTTTACGGACTTAAAAATGTATTTCATAATAATTAGGTTGTTTTTGATGCAGAATTTAGACAGAATATACTCAAGAGAAAAAGGCAAATTCCGGACCTGTGCACCGGGCACGAAAATAGACGCATACGTCGTTGACAGTGGAATTAATCCTGACCACGACGATTTCCAAGTTGAAATAGATGGTGTGAATAAATCTAGAGTGAAGCCAGGTAAATGATATTTTACAGAAATAACATAAAAGACAATACTGAGACATAAGTGAATAATGCTCAGTAACCCATGATCTTATAACATGATCAACAGACTTCACAGACGAATTTTCAGCCGAATAACATAAGAGAGAGAGACATGAGAGAATAAGAAACCACAAGGTAAAATTCTGAAGCCGGGCTACTCTCATGAAAGTTCTGTGTTTTGTATTTCAGGGTGGCACCATAAGAATTATTCCAATACTGAAGACACCTATTATCATGGCACCTTTGTGGCCAGTGTCTTAGGAGGTAAAACCTGTGGAATCGCCCGGAATGTGAACCTCATTGCCGTCAAGGTGTGCACCAATAAATCTGATTTATATCTGACGACTGCCGATGCTGCAGTTAAATGGATAACGAAACAAGTTCAAAACAACAGTATTCTGTCAGTAATTAATATGTCATTCGGAGGTAGGGTTTTCCGGTCTTTCGTCAATGCCGTGAAAGCAGCATTGAATGCAGGAATTGTAGTGGTAGCCTCCGCTGGAAATCACAATGTGTCCGATCTGTACGATGAGACTGATTCGTGTAAAATAGTCCCAGCAAACATAACCAGGGCCATTACAGTTGGCGCCACCAACAAAGATGATTACTTGTCTGCATTCAGTTTCTTAGGACCTTGCGTCGATATTTACGCTCCAGGGTCGCATATTAGTGGTGCCAATTACACACTCGACCCCATGTATGGGGTGAGCCAAGGGACGTCATTTTCAGCACCTCTCGTCGCCGGTGTAGTCGCAGGAATGCTGCAGGTGTTTCGCGATGCTAAGTACTACACAAAACCGTCGAAAGACGTTGTTAAGGACATTAACAAGTACATCATCAAGTATGCGGAGAACGGCAAAGTGAAGGGCCTCCCGAAGGGCAACAACAACTTTATGCTTCAGGCCACCGGTCTGTATACTGTTGATACGCCGGCTTCTTAATGTCCTACTTGAAATACACTCCTGCTAAAGTGGTGGGATATTCCAACAGTACATAACATTTGTGTTTTAAATATATTCAAACTAATTCGTAAGTGGTACATTGTAATTGCATTTTCTACCTTCACATTACATTACATTTGATATTGTTTTATCACTTTGGTTTTCATCTGGCGATCAATGATTAATTTGATCAATTATTGATAATTAATAGGGAAGAGCAAATGTCATGTTGAAGGAAGATGGGTTGGAAAGGAATATCAGAATTATCCAAAGGTAATGCTATTCAATAAAGAATTTCATCTCAGAGGTAGTATGTCGTGTACCACCCATGGGCCAGGAAGACGTCATTTATTCCTCTAGCTCAACGGTCAAAGTTGACAAAATTTTTGTTTTAATTTTCATAGAGTACTTTAAAAGATAAATTGTTCCTAATTTCCGAAATATTCCATTATTTTAGCAAAAGTGTGTATGCGATGCTTTGAATTTACAGCAGTTTTTAATAGAACTATGCCAATGAAACTATGGATATAACCAATTTTCACTGCACTGACTCTTCAACACTGACTTTTTAGACTCTTCAAACATGGACTATTATTTTTTAGAATCAAGATAAGGTATATAATAAGATAAGAAAGACACTTTTGGACTTTTGCATATACCTGAAGTGGATTTTAAAAAAAATTCACAGTGGCATGGAAAAATACAGTGCATTTCTGACTCTCTACAAAGTTTAAGTTCAAATCTTGACAACAAGTTTTAAAAAACCCAGGCTGATACGTTAGTACGAATGACGTAAAATATTTAGCATGTCATCTATCATACCTAAATTTTCACAGTCTGTTGGCGCAGCAACCTGTTTTCATGAACATTCCTTCACACGGCCAGCTATACATGTATGACAGTAATGCTACTTTTCTACCCGTAAAATCAAATACGAGCTTTTATATTGCTAGAGAGATGCCCTCTTTTTCTTGTAACTCAACTGCTAATAAATTCAAGCATGAACGCAAATGTTTACATGTTTATATTCTTCTATGTCGACACTTATTAAAATAACTAAGTTATTCAATTGAAAATCAAAATACATTATATTTCCAGTGCATTTTATTTCGTAAATCGTCACAAAATATCGACATGCGTGATGACACAAAGACGCAGTTCACGAAAAAGATGACATTAATTTCAAACACACGGCCATGAAAAATATTATTTTCATCGACATTCCAGGGGGTCTGATTTGACTGGTTGGCGGCAAATTAACCGATGTGTTTGCGCGGGTAGAAGTTCAAAACATGGCGGGAAGAACAATGAACTTGCACAAGAAGTTAATGGCTATAAGTGAAAGGAAAATGTGTAGATATGTTGTAGCAGCATGCATCTTGACTCGTCGTGGCGGGAAGAATAAAAAAATAAATAAAAAAATAAATAAATAATTTGCATTACAAGCATGCCCATCAACCCGTCGTAGCGTGGAAAATAAAACATAAAGAAATGTGTTGTAAAAGCACGCCAAGTAAATAATAATATAAATAAAATTTTATGAACAAATTAACATGTCTTAAAAGCATGCCCATCGACCTGTCGTGGTCATGAAAAAGGTCTGAAAACTTATGACTCCTAACAAATGCATGACTGAGATTCATCTGTATAACTTCAGTAATTATGTGGGGCAGACAGCGTAGGGTGTTGTAAAGGAGGACCTCTGGACAGCGGGCAAGAAATTGGGATAAAAGACATTAGTTAAATGAAACCGCAATCCGGAATGGTGCAGAAAATCTATAATCTGAAATGAATTGAATGCATGCCCTATTACCATTAAATCATGTGAGCCCAAAGCTTCACAACTGTCTTCTTACGTTAGTATTCCCCCTAATATATTGGCAATGTTGAAATGTAAGCGTTATCCAAAATGATTTTGAAAAACGAGTGATATACAGACTTGACATTTAATATGGAATATTTTTTTCGAAATAATTTTTTATCAGATTTTTCCTATTTTGCTGACTGATAAATGAAAATAAGGATTAAAATCGTGTTTTAATAACTTTAAATTATCTCTTTGATGTCATTGTGACATCAGTTCATTAATGGAATTCGCCAGAGAAGCAAACAAAAAGTCATTGCCTATTCTATGTCATACGACNCATTTAATATGGAATATTTTTATCTAGGTATACCTTCGAAACTAAAATATTCCATATTAAATGTCAAGTCTGTATTTAACTTTACAAGCTTTAGACTGGCAGCACTGAGAATCGCTGCATTGGCCGGTCCGAACAATCACTATGCTTTGTTGACTTCTCTCTTGGTGAGAATGTGAATTGGAAGGTTTCTGGTTAGCTGGGATGGAAAAGACATATAGGCATATTTAGCACTTGGCAAAGTGGTCTTTGATCGTGTAAATTGTGTTAGTTGTGACATTCTGATGATTTTTTGACATTGTGTTTGTGGTGAAAACATGCCATCTTGAAAGAACCAGTTTTCAAAATATGATTGCATAAGTTGTACACAATATACCTTTGAAATTTTGTGTCGTAAAGCTATGCTCGATACAAACAGAAAAATGTAGCAACAAGGCCTTGAATCACATCACCGCGATATCAATTGTCACATGCATCCAGTATTACAACGATGGATGTGAAATGTAGCGTCAACATAGTGCTTTAGGGACAAAAAAATACACTGAGAGCACTGTAAATTTATTTCAGGGGCGAAACGTTCCACCGCGGATACAAGAATCTACAGTATATTGAACTAAGAGGACGCCCTTTGATGTTTGTAACAAAGCTGATAATTGTTAAATATCGGCTTGGTCGGATGAGGAAGAAGAACAACTGCATTTTACATTGATGTCTTAAAAATATTTAACTTATTAGCCTGTAGAAATCGGGTATCAAAGGTTCGCGATATATTTAAAGAAACAGGGTTAAGTGAACTGAGACTTTACCCTACCAATGCTGATGACAAAAACATAAGTAAATTATCTATCGAGTTATATTTAAGCAGAATTTACTGGATACAAAACAGCAAGCTGTTCTATATATAATAAATAATTCAAAGATTGTGGTTATACATGCAAACTTACCTCATAGAAGCAATAGCACTGTATTACAAGAGACTGATCAGCCAATTAAAACTTTCTTCTCATAAAATTGCCATTGAAATTGATTGCCATGGAAACATCTCGTAACCACAAATAAAATGCTCCCATTGTGTCGATATTGAAGACAAAATTTATTCTGAAATGCCCTAAATACAGTACTCAAAGGGAAAAATTCATAAAATCATATTTTTTCGTCAGGCTCCCCGTTTTCAAATTGGTTCTTCTGCTGAATTCTTCTAGAACAAAGTATTGTGTAGCTTTGCATGCTATATAAGGCTTGCTGGAAGCATTTGGCAGATAGAAGAGCTAGTGCTGAGAACTGAGGGCCTTTGGGTCTAGTTACATTGATTTTATATGTATTTTGGAATATATACAAATTCTTCCGTAGATATATTTCTGGAGAATCTTAGACCTTATACTATGCATTTCTCTGCACATGTACAGTGGTGATTCGCCATCTTTAACCGCGCACAAAATGTCGTTTAAGAAGCTGCATGCGACATCAGTTCTCTTTCCCTCCTTAAACCCAACATAGGAGCCCGCGGTGGTATCGGAGAGACTCTGGAGAATTTATGGTCTTGTTCAGGCTTTGGGTATGTAGTACTAATAGTAACTGGCCGGGATTCTCAGCCTGGATTTCTATAACAGTTCTATAACAGTTAGAATGAGTGCGGCATAATTGCAATATACTTCATTCTTAGCAATAATAATATGTTCGGCAGTGATGCCATCGATTGCCGGAGAACATTTCCTTTAAAGGAGATCTTTGCTTTCAATGACTTGTTGTTTAGCATGATGTGCCCACGTTGCACAGTGTCTGTGTGATCAAATAAAGAGCAGAGAAACGTTTGGTGATGCGACCGATCAGTCGATAATACACGAGCTTGTTCTGGCCACAAGACAGCAGAATCCGCCATAATCCCCAACCAGCAAATTTATTTGCGAATAATGCTGAGTTCGGAATAATTAATAGTATAGCACTTGTTAAGTTTTGTCCACATTTGGCTCCATTTCTCGCTACAGACAGCTTATTTCTATGTTAGTAAATTATATTTGGGAGAGAGAATGGCAAATTTCCTGATGCTTTGCATTTTTAGAGGTTATGAATCAGGCTACTCTTAGTTGAGTGAGATGTGGCATATTAAGGCCGCAGTCACAACCGCCTCCCGCACTCGCTGGCCCCTTGAATTGCTTTAAACTTATAATTACGAAAAATCAAACCCGTCAGTATGCAGTTTATCTCATCATTTGTTTTATCGTGATATAAAAAGTCAAATGCTGGTAGAAGCAGCTTATCTACTGGCAGTATACTGCATTATTTATATCATTGCCCCATTTAATTGAATTTTAGATTGTGTTGTTCAATCATATTTGACGTGGAGGTAGAAAATCCGCTAATGTTCATGTCAATACACAATCGAAGGGGGGTGGAAGAGTTCCCCTGGTCTGCAGGTCCAATTATTTTCACGCTTCCATATCTTACCCGCCTGTGCATATACAAAAAATGATAACAAAAGAAAGGTAAATAGATTAATAAAATAAAATAGAACAAATAAATAAAATGATTAAATAATAAATTCGAAATGGTGTAACCTGTTTCAATATGTAAGATTCAGTGCAAGAATCAATTTCAATTCCCCCCCCCCCAATTTTTATTAATATTTTTTATTATAATTATACAGATTTATTTTAATATCAAAATCGTCTTCTCTTCCTATAGAAATACCATACACGGCGCACAGCTGTAATATTACTGCTGAATGAAAACTATACACAGGGATGGCACCATAGCATAAGCTATACATATGTGCTCATCTGAGGGTGTATTAGCAAACTTAAAACCAAGTTCAATAAAAACAAAATACCTAACTACCTTAAAATTTCGAACAAGATCACA